GAGTCAAACAGGGTTTGGAAAAAAGACAAGAACATTAGTTGTATCTTTTGGAAAGCAGAGGTCAGTAACGGCCACATGAGTGGCATCCTGGGACTGCAGAAGGGGTGCTGGACTTAAGAGTCAAGAGATCTGGGTTCAAATCTCACCCCGAGCACTTATTAGCTATGTGGCCTTTCTCTAGATCTTAATTTCTTTCTTTGTAAAATGGAGAAAATGCTGCCTATGCTACTTTCCTCACAAGGTTGTCATGAGGCAGTACTATCAAAATATGGGATAAGAATAGAGACTGACCTGTGAGTTCTACTGAGAGGGAGCTCCTGGTGAGGAAATTCTTGCTACCAATACAAGTTGGCACTCTGTTGCAATGTCGAGTCTTAGGGAGCTGTGTGGAGCACTGAAGGGTTGAGTGATTTTGGAAGGTCAGAGGAAGGACTGGAACCTAGGCCTTTTTGCTCTGAGACCTGTCTCTTTACCCATTATACTACATGCTATGACTTTTTTTTTAAACCATGAGAAGTTTATATTACAAGAATGTGGAACCATAGGAAATGTATGACTTGTTCTTTCCCCACTTTCAGTAAGAAGAGAATTTAGAAGCAATGTGTTCAAATTTCAGTGAGGAAAATACAGGTTAGTATTGGAACCCCAGAACCAGAGCAAGGATGCAGATAGCTTCCTGACAAAAAGAACAGCAGAACATTTCAACGGGTGAAAGGAAGAGAGAAAAAATAAATGTTTATTATTTGAACAAGATAAGAAAAGAAAAAAAGAAGGAAAGGAAAAGGGAAAGAGAAAGGGGAAGGCAAAGGAAGATTGGGGAAGGGAAGGCAAGGGAAGGGGAAGTATGGTAAAGGAAGGGAAGGAGAAAGGAAAAGAAGGAAAAAGGAAAGGAAGGAAAAGAAGGAAAAAGGAAAGGAAAGAAAATGACAAAAAAGTGTGACCTCCTCCCAAGGGAGATTACAAAGTCTCCTGCCCTGGAAAGTTTTAAGAACAAAAGCAACACCCCTCCCCTCAGGGATGGCCAATGCCCAGTCTAGCCTGAGCTTTACTCTTTCTTCTTCTTCCTAACATTTGACATTCAGAGACAGCCTCTATCACTATAAATCACAGCATGACCCCTACCATGAGGTGCAATCTACAGGAGGTAGCATGGTACAGTGGAAAGGGCATTCCCTGCCTTTGGGGACAAAGGATATGGATTTGAATCCTGGCTCTGCACTGTGCCTTCTCTCCTCACCTTCATCCCCAAGACATATTCTCTCCTTCCTTGAAACAGCAAAGGGATGGAAGAAAGAAGGCTGGACCCAGAGTCTGCAGACTCTGCCCTTTACTTCTTGGGTAACCTTTGGTGAGTTACTTAAAGCTCCCAAGAACTCAGTATCCTCATCTGTAAAAGAGGAGGCAAAGTTGAACTAAATGACCCCTACCATCCCTTCCAGATCTAAATCCTATAATCCTATGTACATTCTTATTAGTTCATCGTTTGGGTCCATCAAACTGCCAGGGAGTATTTATAGGAAACTTACTATGTGCCCTGTGTTGCCCTTGGGTAGATCTTAGCTACAGAAGATAAAATATCACATTGAAAATAATACAGCTAGGTGGCACAGTGGATAGAGCACCGGAGTCAGGAGGACCTGAGTTCAAATCTGACCTCAGACACATGGCACTCACTAGCTGTGTGACCCGGGGCAAGTCACTTAACCCCATTACACTAGCCAAAAAAAAAAAAAAAAACCAAAACAAAACAAAAACAAAAGAAAAAGAAAATAATAATGACAGAAAAGACACTGCTCTCCAAGGGTACCCATCCTGGGCAGTGGAAGGGTGATGCTTACCCTCTCCTAGGGGAATGACCAAGCATCATAGGATGCTATTCCAAGGGGAGAAGCTTCTAGGATGTCAGCTGAAGGAGAAGTCAGTTGAAGGAGAAGTCTCTGGGGCTATAACTTCACATAGATTATTCTGCCCTTCAGCGTCAGAGCCAAGATCAGGCTGGGCTCCAGAGAAGACTCTGAACTTGACACCAATGGCTTTCTCTAGGCTCTGTCAACAAAGCTGGGTAAAAAACAGAGACCCAGTAACCAGAACACTGGGTTGGCACTACAAGTCCCCAGGGCCAAGATCCCAAGTTCATTCTCTATTCCTTCAAAGTATACTTGACATCTAGCAACCAGAGAGCCCTGGGGCATCCAGCTGAGTTTCAGATTCTTCTCCCGGGCCCAAGGAGGCAGATTTCCAAGTCTGCTCTCCATCATCCCTCACCCCTACTCACAAAGACAAAGTATAAATCCCAAATTGAATTTCGTGCTGGGACTATTTCCTCAGAACATTGTTAAATGAAAAAGAGACCTCCCCCACCAAAATAAAATATTCAGAGCAGTTTTATGTATAGTAATGAAAATAAGCAGTTTATTCAACTGCGATCTAATCAAAAATAACAAAAATGAAAAGTCTATATGGTAGCATACGTGGAAAGGGTCTGCTAGGTTTAGAATGAGGGGAATCACAGAATTTGAGAGTTGCAAGGCACGTCCAAGACCATTGACTTCAGCCCTTTCATACACAAAGGGATCCCCACTATAACATATCCGATAACCTTTGCTTGAAAATCCCCGGGAAGAAGGAAACCATTAACTCTCTAGGTGATCCATTCCACTTTGGCACAGCTCTTATCATTAGGAAAGCTTTCCTGACATTCAGCTGCCAAAACCAGCCTCCGATGTTTCCACCATTCCTGGTTCTTCCCTCTGATCCCTCTTCTACATGAAAGTCCATCAGATACTTGAAGACAGTTACCATGTCTCCCCTGAGTCTTCTTTTCTCCAGGTTAAACAGGCTTCCTTCAGCTTATCCTCACATGTCATGAACTCAAGGCCTTTGGCCACCCTGATCGACCTCCTCTGGACAGTCTCCAGTTTATCAATATCTTTCTTAAAAAATGATGCCTATAACTGGACACAACGCTCCAAGTGAAGTCAGACAGAGGCAGAATACAGTGGGATTATCACCTCCCTATTCCTGGAAGCTATGTCCTTCCTAATGCAGTCCAAGATAATATTAGCTTTTTTCAACAGCCATAGTGCACTGCTGACTCAGATTGAGTTTATAGATCACTAAAACCCTTAGATTGTTTTCAGAACAACCGCTCTTTATCCATGCCTCCCCCATCTTAGGCTGGAGGAGCTGACTTTTTATACTCATGTGTAAGACTTTACATTTATCCCTACTGAATTTCATCTTGTTAAATCCAGCCCCAAACTATGCCACTTACTCCCCGTGTGACTTTGGACCAGTCACAATCTTCTTGGGCTCCAATTTCTTCATCTGTCAAATGGGGGTGATTGTACTAAATGATATCTGAGGAAGAGGAAGGAGGAGAAAGGGAGAAAGGAAGGAAGGAAGGAAGGAACTAATCAGCTGCAGACCTATCAATCACCATATTTTAAAAACCAAAAATACTTATAAGTGCACAGACAGATTTAGAAGAAGCAGAAGGAAAATACGTTGCTAGTGTTTTCTAAAAACCAATTTTTTTTCCTTTCAGTCAGAATATAAAACATCTTAAATTCTAAGGCAGTTAGGTGTCACACTGGATAGAGTGTTGGACCTTAAGTCAGGAAGACAGGAGTTCAAATATGGATTTAGATACTATGTGACTCTAAGCAAGTTACTTAACCTCTCCCTCAGTTTTCTCATCTGGAAAATGGGCATAATAATAGCATCTATCTCCCAGGGTTGTCGTCAGTATAAAACAAGGTATTTGTAAAGTATTTTGCAGATTTTAAAGCATGATGTAGAGCTAGCTATTGTTATTATTTTACTTGGAGATTCCTTTCATTTTTAGTTCAATTTAGTTATATTTGCTAGAGGTGTTGGTTCAATTTTACTTTAAAATTACTTAAGATTAAAATTCAGAAAAGAGAAGCAAAAGATGCACCTGGGGGCCTGAACAGACACCCTTCCCTTTATTTATCTGTCTCTCTCTCTCTTTTTTCTAATTATTGAGATAGCCAAAAACATCCTCTCCCCTTCACCTCTGATTTCCAGAGTACACTGGATCTCTTTAATTGACTAAGAGACCCAAGGTTAGAGGGTTTGTGTATAAGCTCTGGGCTGAGAACCGTGGCCCAAACCTCTTATATTTTCTCCTACCCCACTTTTTAGGGGCATTGGGATGGAAGCAGCTCCCAGAGGCAGTCCCATTTCTGCCTTTCTGGGGCTCCTCTGCCTGACTAGGCCGTCTGGGGTGAAGACAGAGGAATGAGAAGAGAACCTGAAAGACAGCTCCAGAGACCTAGACCGACTCTGTTTCTAGGTCACCTGGATCTGGAAGTGAGAGTGTGAAAGAGGAGATAGACTCAGGAAGCAAAATGTGGCAGGAGAATGGACATGCTACAGAGCCCTGGGACGGTTAGAGAAAATGTCTCAGCAGTTCTGGTTAAGGTGCCCAAGAGGGATTGGAAAGGAGGGGGAGAGGGCAGATATTCTTTACAAGAGCTCACCATTTGGTTGTCCTTTATCGTTTACAAAAACACTTTACTCACAACAGTCTTCTGAGGTAAACAGTTCAAATATTATCCCCCTTACACAGAAGAGGAAACTGAGTCTCTGGGAGGTGAAGAGACTTACTTAAGGTTACAAAGCTGGTAGCGTGAGTACTCAAACCCTGGTCTTCTTCGCAAAAACTTCCCTTCCTGCTCCCGAGGGGGCTGGAGAAGACTGGGAGCCCAAACCACAGTCCTCCACATGCTTGCACCCACCCCGAGCATCCCGGGAGCATCCCGGGAGCTCGGAGACATGGCTAGGGATAAAGGGCGGATCCCGGCTGAACCTGCCTCCAGGGCAACGGAGCGTGGCTTCTAGAGATCTTAAGTTAGGATGGGCTGGGGATGGAGGAGGAGCAGCTGGCAGGTGGCAGAAGGCGGTCAAACGGCGCACCATCCCAATCCCCCCAGCCCAGCCTGGCTAAGCCCCCTGCTCCCAGCCGGGCCCCTCACCTGGTAGTTATCCAGCTGCTCGTCGGTGAAGATCGTCTGCTTGTTCCCCATCTTAGCCGCGGAGCCGGGGCTCGGCCGGGACCAAGTCTTCCATCAGAAGGCGCCCGCTGGCTCCCGGGGACCCCGGCGTCCGAGCCACTGCGGCCCGTTCGGACGGACAGTGCCCAGTCCCTGGGCGTCCCTAATGCTGCCTCTCACTCCGATCGCCCCTCCAGGGGCCAGGGGGGCCGGAGGAGGAGAGGGAAGAAGATGGAGAGATGGCTGGAAGGGCCGGGGGCCAAGGGTCAGTCCAACGGGCGCATCCCAGAGGACCCTCGCTGCTGCCGCTGCCTCTGACAACGCCACTGGCTTGCTATGGCTCCCCCCGAGAGGGCTGGAACCAGGAGGATGGGTAAAGAGGGGTGCTGCCGGGGGGCGAGGTGCGCCCGCAGCCCCGACAGCTCCCGACGGCTCTGGACAGCTCCGGCTCCTGGCCTCCTCGCGAAGGTCCGCAAGCTCAGGGAGCCCGGGCCTTTGCGGCCGCCCAGCCCGGGGGAGGGGAGGGGAACAGAGGGCGGGGCTTTGCCAGCCCAGCCCCTAGGCTGCCCCTTGGCCAGACAAGGATGGAGGCTCCGCCTCCGGAGAACCTGAGGAAGGAGGCAGAAGCCAGCGGGGTGAGGTCCGTGCATTCTCCCCTTCCGACACCTGCATTCCGTCGAGGTCTCTGACACCCCCTTTCGCGGCCCCCACGCAACGTACCTCCCCACCTTTCATCTTGCTACCCCTCAACATCCCTCAGCTCTAGAGGGTCTGCAAGCAAGGGTCCCTTGTCTCCACCCCAATTACACCCACCACAATTCAGTTTCTGCTCACCTTTTGCCTCACGTTGTCCTTAGCCTCCCTGCCCCCAATCTCTGCCCCTCTCCAGTGTACCCTCCACATTGCTGTCAGAGTAAGGTTCCTAATGGAAAGCCTGGCTATGTCACTGACTATGACGAGGCTCCCTGTTGCCTCTAGAATTAACACACACACACACAAAAACATGCACACGAGTGCTCTTGCATTCTATTTATTAAGGCCCTCGCTAAACTGATCTAATCTGTCTTTCCAGTCGATCAATTGGCAGATAAGTGACACAGTAAAGAAAGTGATAGGGCTGCAATCAAGAAGGTCTGAGGTCAAATCAAGTCACTTAACCTCAGTTTTCTTGTCTGTAAAATGGAGATAATAGTACCCCTCCCAGGGTTGTTTCAAAGAGCACTTAGCACAGTTCCTGGCGCATAGCAGGCATTTGATAAATGTTCATTTGCTTCCTTCCTTCCAATAAGCATTCAAGTGCCTGTTATGTGCCAGGCACTGTGAGAGGTGCTGCTGTATGACAGATTGAGAGCCAGCCAAGGACTAGAGTCCAAGTGATGCTTCTGATACTAAAGGTTGTGTGACCCTTGGCCTCTTGGTGCTCTCAGATTATAACTGCTGAGGTGCCCACCCAGGAAATCACAGGCCCCCTCCCAATACCCATTCCCTTCAAGCACCCCATGTTCCAGCCAGCAGGGTCCGCCCACTGTTCCCCCATCTTGTCCCACTTTCTTCCTCCCATGGACCAGCATGAGGGTCTGATCCTTTGTTAGGACTGCCCTCCCCCACCCAGTCTGTGTCTGTTAATACCCATTCTCTTTCTTTAAGGCCCAGCTCATCCTCCACAACCCCTTCCTGAGCCCTCCCAGTTGAATGTTTTGTCTCTCCACATTTTCCTGATGGATTTTGTCTGGATTTCTCCCTGATTTGTATTCCTCCTATTAGACCGCAAGCCCCCCTGAGCTGTTTTCACTTTTGTCTCCCTAGAACCTAGGACGGAGGCGTGTAAGTGCTAAATAAATGTTTGGTTGTTGGAGGCATCTCTGGCACCACCCCTGATGTCACTAAGAAAGCCAAACCCAGGGGCAACTAGGTGGCACAATGGATAGAGTACTGGCCCTGAAGTCAGGGGGACCTGAGTTCAAATCTGACCTCAGATCAAACACTTGATACTTACTAGCTGTGTGACCCTGGGCAAGTCAACCCCAATTGCCCCCCCCCCAAAAAAAAGCCAAACCGAGAGTCAGAGAGTTAGGCATGACTGCCTCCAGCTGGACCTTGCCAGCTGCTCGACCTACAAAGGCAGAGCATAGGCTGGCCCTGGCCTAAGGGAGGTTTTGGACATCATGCCTGGTGAAAGGCAAGGGAGCTATAGTCTAAAGGGGAAGCTTGGTCCGGTAGGCTGAACCTCCTCCTTCCAGTGGCTTCCTCTGGTGCAGAGACAGGAGGAGGGCAAAATTCCCTACGTCCCTTTATAAGATTCTCATGCCCATGGGAGATGCTCATACCCAGGTTAGGATTCCCTGCCTTACTTAGAATCCCCAGAGAAGGTAAGCTCCTTCGGGGTAAGATGTGCAGGAGACTCTCTTGTCATTGCATCCCCAGTGCCTAGCAAAATGCCTGGCACGTAGCAACAATGCAGGACGGATATTTTTGTTGCTGTTGTTTCATCAAACCAAAATCAACCTTTCTACAACTTTCTATCCATTGCTCCTTGATCTGATTCCTCTTCCACATAACAATTCCTCAAAAATTTGCAGGCAGCCATCATGTCCTATCTCCCCCAGCCCTCCCATCGGCAGAGGTTAAATATTTCCACTCTCAGAAAGTATGATCCCGAAGTCCTTCCCATCCTCCGCAGCTTGCTGATGCTCTTCCTAGATTATGGAACCCAAGACTGAACGCCACAGTGTTACTTCTGCAATCTCTCCACACCTCTTTGGCTGTGCACGCCCTGTCTCATTCTACCAGGACAGTATATCTAGCATCATTCAAGAAAGAAGACACTCTTCTTCCAGCTTACCAGTCTGAACCTCTAGGGAGCCAGAAATAACATCAGGATGAAGGAGGATGTTTTACCAGATTAGTCCCTATGGTAGAAAGAGTACTGAGCTTCAAATCAGGAAAGACCCGGGTCAGAATCTTATCTCTGAAAAGAGATAAGAAAAATCACTTAACTGAGACTCAGTTTCCACATCTGTGAAATGGGAATAACACATGCAATACCTACCTCACAAGGTGATTATAAGGGAAGTGCCTGGCGAACCTTAAAGGGCTATAAAAATGTGAATTATTATTAGCAGAGCTTAATGGAAATATCCCTTAAGAATATCCAGTTGAGTTACAAAATGATCCAACCATTTTGGAGAGCATTTTGGAACTATGCCCAAAGGGCTACAAAAATGTGCATACCCTTTGACCCAGCAATGGCACTTCTAAGGCTATATCCCAAAGAGATCACACAAACGGGAAAAGGACCTACATGTACAAAAATATTCATAGCAGCTCTTTTTGTGGTGGCAAAGAATTGGAAATTGAGAGGATGCCCATCAATTGGGGAATGGCTGAGCAAGTTGTGGTACATGAATGTGATTGAATACTATTGTGCTATAAGAAATGATGAACAGGCTGACTTCAGAAAAACCGGGAACGACTTGTATGGTCTGATGCTGAGTGAAGTGAGCAGAACCAAGAGAATGTTGTACACAATTACAACCATGTTGTGTGATGACTAATCTTGATAAACCTAACCCTTCCCAGCAATACAAGGATCTAAGACATCTCCAAAGGACTGGTGATGGAAAATGCTATCCACATCCAAAGAAAGAACTATGGAAGTTGAATTGCTATTTTTTTCTCTTCTGTTGAGTTTTGTTTCCTCTTTCTGATGGTTCCTCCTATTGGTTTTAATTTTTACTTACAACATCACTAATGTGAAAATATGTTTAATAGGCATGTAAATGTATAGCCTATATCAGATTGTGTGCCTTGGGGAGGGTGGTGGGGAGGAAGGGGTAGAAAAGTTTTAAACTCAAAAGCATTTGAAGTGATTATGGATAAATCAAAATAAATTAATAAAAAAAGAATTTGAAGGCTAGAGAGAAGCATAAAAAGGCTCACATAAACTTACAAAATGAGGTGAGCAGACTTGAAAACAATAAATAAATTAGATACAATAACTCTAATAATGTAAATGGAAAAAACTACCATAAAATAACTGAAACTGAAAAAAAAGAAAGTTAAAAAAAAAAGAATATCCAGTTGACAGCATTCTTAATTTTGTATGTAATCCACATGTCAGACCTAGCCTCCGGTCTGACAGTCAGATTGGATTCCTATCATGGTGGATCTAGAGAAATAATACTCCCTTTGGCTGATTTTGTCTCCAGTCTAGATTTGTAAGCTCTGGGAATGTCTCTAGTTAGCTCCTTTCTGGGATTCTCAGTCACTGCCATTGCTAGCAAAGGTCCTAAAGGCACTAAAACATCAAAGTATTCATTGATGATGGAGCTGGCACTGTGCCCAGGGCCTGGGCTATCCTGATTGGTGTCTGAGCTTTCCTAACCATCCTATGTAGTCAGTCCCAGACCATGCCTCACATCCCATTGAGTCATTCACTAGGAAACCAGAACTTGCACAGTGAGAGTATCTTGCCATCTGTGTTGCCAAAAATAATCAGATTCATTCTCTGTCTTTTTTAATATTGATCCTATTTTCTATTAATTGATTTTGTCCTGTAACTGCCTAAGTCACGGTTCTTTGTCTCTGAACTTAGTTCAGAAGTCCAGCTTTTCTGTAATGAGTTAAGTTTAGCAATCCAGTTCTTTTATTAATCACCGTTCTATTCTTGCCTCAAGGAAACCTGCTATCCTTGAGAGATGTGGACAGACACCAGGGAGCCTGTCTAGTATCTTTACACCACTGAGCTATCCTTCACAAATGCCTGGTTTGCTATCCAAAGAAGTCTGGTCCACTATCTCTAAGCTAGCAGGTGGTCTCAAACAATGAACATTTCTTAGTCATAGGAGGAAGGAGGGGGGTGCTAGCCCCTCATTCCCAATTTCCAATCAATCATATATTCCCCCATGCCTCAGCTCTGTAACCAATCATACTGATTTCACCACTCCTGATGCTGAGCTCTTTCAACCAATCATAACTTATTCCCCGCCTATGAAGCAACAGTACCTATCTTCCTGGGTTGTTGAAAGGATA